TGATGATTATTATTATTATTATTATTATTATTATTATTATTATTATTATTATTATTATTATTATTATTATTATTATTATTATTATGATTATTATTATTATTATTATTATTATTAGGATGATTATTATTATTATTATTATTATTATTATTATTATTATTATTATTATTATTATTATTATTATTATTATTATTATTATTATTATTATTATTATTATTATTATTATTATTATTATTATTATTATTATTATTATCTGATAAGGGAAAGGGCAAGACAACCACGACCAAGAAAAAGACCATGATCAAGTCTAAAAGCAATCCGTCTACGCCGGTGCAACGTACAATTACAAACTCTGGAGAGGGTTCTTTCTCAACGAATCCAGTGTCGGCTCCACCTTCCCATCAACTGTAGAAGTTGGTGATTCGAGCAACGAACCGGTCTGAGGTCCCGAGATATCGGAATTGTACATAAACTTTGATAAGCATATTGCTTATCATATTGTGAGCGGAGGTCCAGAGCGCTCGGAGCGCGGCGCTGAATTTCGATTTCGAAATCACACACAAACTTTGAAGTCTGAGCGCCGGCGCCATTTATTATGGAGGCCGTACAGAGAGCTCGATTAATGTCAGTTGTACACGCTTCGTTCAACACTGTGGACGACCATCTACTTAGAGCATTCATAGAGAGATGGCAGCTAGCTACCAACACATTTCATTTACCTGTTGGAGAGATGACCATCGCACTTGATGATGTGAGCACATTGGTCGGTTTGCTAGTTGTTGGGCGTACTGTATCTTGCGAATGTTAGATCCATGATTCCAAAACGCATGCCAGTAATTTGATGCTCAAATTGCTAGGTGAGTACCCGGAAGATGTGGACAAGAGGAAAGCTGTGAAGTTGGAACGATTGAAGGCCAAATTTAGTAAGGTGGCCATGAGAGACAGTGCGGAGAAGAGGACATACGCCATTCGGGCGTATTTGTTATTTTTGTTGGGGTATACTATATTGTGCGACAAGACCGGCAACATGATAAGCGTGGAGTATCTAAATCTCGTCTCTGATTTGGATCAGATCGACAAGTACGCTTCGGGCACTGCATGTCTTTGTCGGTTGTACGATGAACTATCGTCAGCCTCACAAAATTCAACGAACTCGATGGCTGGCTGGCTGACGCTCTTCCAATCATGGATTTATGAGCACTTTCCGTATTTGGCGGGTGGCACATTGAAGATGGAATTAGAGGGGCCATTAGCCAGCCGATGGGAGCCTTAGTGAAAGACTACTTCGACGCCTGAACGAGCCATGTACTTGCGATCTCGATTAGATGATTTGATACCTGATCAATAGAAATACAAGTTTAATAATTTGTTATTACTACTTAAGTAGGTTTCTAAATTGTTTTTTATTTATTTTATTAGGTTTTATGGTCACCGTACACGGCTATTTGTGACCGTTTCTCGATGCTAGATTATGTTTGGTTTAGTGGGATGATATGCTGCATGGACCACTTCGAGGCATATCATTCGAACAGAGTGTTGAGGCAGTTCAACCGGATCCAGATTATTCTAGGTCGTGTATACATGTCAAAGGCTATGTACAAAGCTCTGGTTAACAAAGGTCGTCTAGTCCTGAACTCGGTATTCGCCGCGTATGGCGAACGATTCTCTGATCGGTGGGAGGAGTATTGTTTGGACGAGGAGTCAAGGTCCGTTGAAGATGAACTCGGGGAGGCGGACACTTTGCCTGACTACATGGATTGGTTCCGACCGCGATGCATGTTACAACTCTGTAGGCATGGATCCCATCCACCTCGACCCCAGGTGGATCAACCTCGACCACGTGAAACTCGTCCAGGGGGTGGTCCCGATAAGGAGGTCCAACTTTTTCAAATTTTGAATTTGATGAAGGGTGCACTTAGCGATGTACAGGGACTTGCGCCATCCGACGGCCATACAGTCATGTGGGGGACACTAAATAATATTGTCAGATTGATCGAGCCGGATGCCCCACTTCCACCTCCATCGAGCTCGTCGGATGCCCCACCATCACCTCCTCCTGATACTACTTTAGAAGAAACACAACCAGTTGTGAACGCGTGTTTAGTAGGAAGAAAAAAACACATGACTAGTCTTGTGTGTTTTTTAGGTGGACTTTGTGTATTTTTGATGGATTTTGTTTGGTTTAGATGTTTTTTTTAAATTTAGTTTTATACGGATTTTGTTTGTTTTAGATGGATTTTGTTAGTTCTAAATGGATTTTTTTTGATAATTTGCAATTTTAATTTTTTTAGTCCTAAAACACTTAGAATATGTTTTTTTTTTATGTTACATTGAAATAGATTTTGAGTTAATTTCACTAAAAAATAAAAATTGCAAATTATCAAAAAAATAAAAAAAATCTAACAATTATTTTTCGACAGCTATCTGTTGATTTTACAGACAAAATTGACAGCTAGCTGTCGAAAGTTAGCTGTTACATTTTTTATATTTTTTATAATTTGCATTTTTTTTATTTTTAGTCCAAAAACACTTAGAATATGTTGTTTATGTTACATTGAAATAGATTTTGAGTTAATTTCACTAAAAAAAATAAAAATTGCAAATTATCAAAAAATTAAAAATAATGTAACAGTTATTTTTCAACAGCTAGGTGTCGAAAGTTTGAAATCCACCGTAAAATAAATTTATCAAATAAATTTAATTTATGTGTTATTATGGAAATCCTGCTTTCACGTCATTTAATATAAAAAAGGGAGTTAAAGTTAATAAATCTTTTACAATTGTTTGCCTAACAATGGGAAAATAGGTGTTTTTGGACAAGTCCAAAGTCTGTTGTATCCTGGGAGCTGATTTATGACAAGTTGTAAGCACTGTCGCGAGAAATTCCGTCTTATGGAACGAGACAAGCCAGAGCCTCCGCGAGGTGGGAGGTTGTTAGCATTGTCACGTTCTCTCCGAGTAGATGATTCAGGGACACATGCGCGCTACGTGAACTTGTATGCCTTCCCAAAGACGGCGCCATTATGACGATGCTATAAATAGATCACCTTAAATAGTTGAAGTAGGATGAGCTGGGAGAACAAAGTGGATCACTGGTCACGTGCTAGATGGTCCTGAGATACCTGCGAACAGAGAACACGTGAACTAGGTTGGGGGTTGATCCGGCGAAACCCCTCCGACGCTCAAGTCAGACGTGTGGATAGTAGAAATAGTTGAGAGGATACGAATTGTCGAATTATCCAGATAATAGGGCGTACCTTTAATAAATGAATTATATCGGTATTTATACCTTGTCGATTGGGCTGCAGTTAATTTGTTGGGCTCAAACCTTATTTGAAGGTGACTGAACTTTCGTAATAGTATTCTTCTAAATAATTTTGTTTTGAACTAAGAGTTTAGTTAAAATTTTCTATTTGAGGTTGTCACCCTATTCAAATTAGGTTTGTATGGAGCGACTCCTAACATATTAACCCTTAAAAGGAACCCCTTTTGTGGCAGTGGCTATATGTTCGAAGTAAAGTTTTGATTTGTGGGCTTTTCCGTTTGCAAACAAAAGTGAAGAAAAAAAATAAAAAATTGAGTTGTTCTTGGAGGAGATCGTGGTGGGCGTGGTGAATTGGAGAGGCCCGAGTCGTGGTGGTTGTCAAGAGTAGCAACCGGTGGGGATGCTTTCTTTTTCTTGGACAGAGAAACACAAAGTCAAAAACATGTAAATGAGAGAAATCAAAGTAAAGAATAATTAAAATAAAGGGTATTGTTGTCATTTTAAGTAGGTAGAGAGTGAATCGTAAGAAATTATATAAAGTAGATAGTGACACTTGAAAATATCTTCTCACAAAAAAAAAAAAAAAAAAAAAAGACACTTGAAAATATGATGATAGGGAACTTAAGCCCAGTATGATAAGTGATGTGTTGATTTTTCTCTAACTTGTCCATTTATTAATTATAAATGTAATTTTTCACATTTTTTTGTATTATTCTTTTGAAATTAAAATTGAAATAGAAATATGAACTCCAAATAATTTATATTTTTTTCAATTCTTACAAATAAATAGAAGATCTCGATATTTGGAAATAAAAGAAAATCATGATTCCAAAATAAAAAAAATATGATCAAAATCACAATAAATAGAAAATTCAGTTCTAGTTTTCGCCCCTAACTTTATGTAATGCAATTATATATACTATTATCAGCATTGAAATTATCTCATTACATTAAAATTTGAACATTTTCTACTTCAATGCAAAATTTTATTTAATGTATATCCTTGTCAAATGTTCTTTTGAGGATAAATGAAGCAATCTTTGCATCTAATTACAACGCAAATAGTGACTAATTATCTTGTTGAGTTCAAATGTCCCATTTCGAACAAGAGATGTTAAGACCCAATGATTATGAAAGCAAATAATGAAGTTCCAACTACCATTTGGTGTGAAGATTATTACAAAATTATATTAACAAGCAAGCTATTCTTATATAATTCACCCAATTATTTGCAAATTTTAGCCAATTAATTAATTGGAATCGAAAGAATCAACGGTGCAGTCAAAATCATGAGTCGAAAACCGGGGATGTTTTTATCCTTGTCCACAATGAGTTTCACCATATGGGCTGCGGTCATATTATTGATGATGATTTCTCAAGCTGGTAATTAATTATCTTGTTTTCTAATGTTTAAACATATTGTATATGCTTGTTTTTGAGTTTCTTGATATCTTATTTGATTGATCGTAATTTTCTCGATTTCTTGAATTTTTTTAGAGGCTTACGACCCATTGGATCCATTTGGGAACATAACAATCAAATGGGATGTAGTATCTTGGACACCAGATGGATATGTGGTGAGCTAATTAATTATCATAAAATGTATATGCATTATGTTTAGAGATAGAAATCAAAATTTTCGCCCCGGACTCGTTTTTTTTTGGAGAATACTTTTGCCCCTAATTATGTTTGTTTCACTTTTTATTCCAAGAGTTAATTAACACTTGTGTCTTGATAAAATAAGGCTCTTGTTACAATGAACAACTTTCAAATGTATCGGCATATCATGAGCCCCGGTTGGACCCTATCGTGGGGTTGGGCTAAGAAGGAAGTGATTTGGTCAATGGTAGGGGCACAAACCACAGAGCAAGGAGATTGCTCCAAATTCAAAGGAAACGTTCCACATTGTTGCAAGAAAAATCCGACGGTGGTTGATCTGCTTCCCGGTGTACCGTACAATCAGCAGATTGCCAACTGCTGCAAAGGTGGGGTCGTGGCCTCTTGGGGCCAAGACCCCTCCTCTGCAGTTTCCTCATTCCAAGTCAGCGTTGGTCTTGCTGGAACTACCAACAAAACGGTCAAACTGCCGACCAATTTCACCCTACTTGGTCCCGGGCCGGGATACACTTGCGGTCCTGCAAAGATTGTGCCTTCCACTGTGTACCTCACTCCCGATCGGAGACGGAAAACACAAGCTTTAAGTGAGCATGTTTTAATTATATATGATATTTTCTAGTGCATTTATGGTTGCATCTCGTGTTTTATTTCACCATTGCTTGTCAATATGTTGCTTGTGTTGGTAAAGTAAAACAAGAGACCCTACAATAAATGCAATAGAGCTTCATATTGTGTTTGGTTTTCTTTTTAGGCTGATTAACATTTATTAAGAAAACTAATAAATGTGCATGGATTCTAGTTTAATCATAATAAAATGACTAAAAAAAACCACTTTTATTAAATGCTTAACCATTAATTGTCTTAATAGTAATAAGGGCACAGTTGAGAAAACACAATAAATACTTTATTGGAATCCTAAAGTAATAATTATTTTGAAATGAAAAAAATTCTCTAAAAGAATAAATAAATTGGGAAGGGCAGTATGGTTAATTATGGGTCGAAATAGGACTGATCGAATCAAAATTAATATTTTTCATGATTTTTAATATTTTCTGGAAGTAAGAAGATAATTTCAATGACAATCCGATTTTGTCTTCAGAAAATTCGAATATTATAATTTTGAAAAAAAAAAGATCGAATTTTTCGGATCACAATTGGTAAAAATTATAAATTTGACTTCGATTTCCATCTTTTGTATAAGTATAATACGGTAAGTTTTCGAAAATCTAGAAATTGAAGTTTCAGAAAAATATTGCTCGAAATTCCTAAACTTCAAAATATGAATCGAGAAATTCGAAAGTTCCATTCCGATTTTCACTCATATGCGTGATAAAGTTTATAAACTCTTGTGCATATGCAGTGACGTGGAATGTGACATGTACGTACTCTCAAGTCCTGGTATCGAAGAATCCAAGGTGCTGCGTTTCCTTCTCATCTTTCTACAATGATTCTATCACCCCTTGCCCAACTTGCTCTTGCGGCTGCCAGAACAAGAAAGATTGCATCATGTGAGTTAGCAACTTCTTCCATTTTTTTCAATGCAAATTCACCTCTCTCTCTCTATATAGACAACATAGAACTCGATCGTTCCTTTATCGATCGATATGATAAGCCACGATTAATTAACTAAATTCAAATATCAATTATTGAGCTCTTATCTAGATTTAATTGAGAACTTAGGCGAATCCATGATGACTTTTTAAGGGGAGACGAGTTTTTTTTTTTTGGTTGGAAATAATACAACGGTGGGTAGAGTTATATTTTCGGAGGAATACATTATTTTTTTTAATTATTTACTAAAAACAATTTAAATATTTATTCATTTAATTTACAATAGTACAAGTTTTAGCCATAATATTGTATCATATAATAATAAATATGAAAATTATAAAAATTAAACCTAGATTTTCAAAATATGACGTAATTGTTTTTAATGATCTTGGGGGTTGGGGCAAAACTTATATTTATAAAATATTACCTAATGTATTATTAAATAAAAATTCATTGAAGGTACCTAATTTAAACTTGGGTAAATTACAAACACCCCCTCAACTCCTCAAATTTAGTGGAATCTTCGAGATTATATGGGATATTATCACTTTTGTACCCGTTTTATCCTATTCGAACTCTATATTTTGAAGCAAGATGATCATAATATGTGTTTTTTGGCTTGTATATATCAGATTGTGGTGCATCAGAAACTGTATTTTTACAAAAAAGAAAAACGAGTACAAACTAGAGCACATTCCACGAAATCTAGATGATTATGAATTTGACAACATAAATGTGGAGGCGTAAGAAAAAAAAATCATAGTTGAGAGGGGGTAGATGTAATTATCCAAACAAGAGGGGTTTTTTTTTGTAAATTGATCATACCTCAAGGGGGTGTTTGTAATTTACCCTTTAAACTATTGATCTCCTCAAACTCTCCCTCAAATTCATGTTTGTGTTCTTGTAAGAGATGATTTAACGGTTGGAGTAAGTGAGTCTGTGTCACTTGACACAGGTTCAAATCTTCTTGCCAACGGTCGTTGGATGGAGCTTGTCACACATGATTAGCCTAGTGTGGTTAATGTCTCTTGTATGATTTGCACACTATTAGACAAGAGTGTAGGTTTACCCAATGCACCTATATAGTTGGTTGCGGTTCCTTGATTATAAAAAATAATCACGTTTTTGTGATGGTAGATCGATGTTCTATTGGGGACTCATGTGAATTCAGTTTTTGAAATATATAGAATTTAATTCTTTGATCCAAAAAAAAAATATAAGAAACAAAATTAAAATTTTGAGAAGGTTGTTGCAAATAAAAAAATTGTGACAAATTCACCATCCTTTTGTGATGTTGAACAAATGCAGGAGCGACTCAAACAAGCTGAAAAACGTGGGGATAAACACCCCACGAAAGGACAACGCACCACTCTTGCAATGCACTCATCATATGTGTCCCATACGTGTTCATTGGCATGTGAAGATCAACTACAGAGAGTATTGGCGCGTGAAAGTTGCGGTCACTAATTTCAACTACAGAATGAACTACACCCAGTGGACCCTCGTCGCCCAACACCCTAATCTCAACAATGTCACACAAGTTTTCAGCTTCGATTACAAGCCTCTTGTCCCGTACCAATCCATAAGTAAGTGCTAATCAATTCTTATATTCCAATTTTCTTTCTATAGGTGGAAATTGAACCGATCTTACAAAAAATAACACTTAAAAAAAGAAATGATTTTTCTCTAAAGCAAAGGACCAATATTACTTTCGACCTGAAGTTCTTTGAAATAATACAAATATTAATTATTTAAAAAATCATAAAATTGTTTTGTTCCAATTTTCTTTTTATGGGTGGAAATTGAACCGATCTTACAAAAAATAACACTTAAAAAAAAGAAATGATTTTTTTTCTTAAGCAAATGACTAATATTAGTTTCGACCTGAAGTTCTTTGCAATAATACAAATATTAATTATCTTAAAAATCATAATTATAAAGAGCAATAAAATTCTCCATTAAAGTCGGCGGAATTCAGAAATACAATTTCGATCTTCAACATTAATATAAGATGCATAATAATATACTATGTATATTGTACTTTTTGAAGATAAAAAATCACAATTTCAAAAGTATGATTACATCGAAACATAGAATTTACGGACATCATATATAACTTTAACTTAATCCGAACATTGAATATTAAAAAATATTTTGACGTTCAAAAACTTCTAAAGTAGAATTGGCAAAACCATTATTTTAAAATTGAAACTAAAATCAGATTAGAAGCCAGATTACTTTCCAGAAAACATGAAAATCAGAATTTTGAAAAATAAAAAAATAAAAACATTTATTCCAAAATTGAATTATTGTAACAAATTAGCCAAAAATCCTACCGGTTTCTACTCCTAGTTCATTGATATCTTCTTGCTTTTGTATGATAGTCCGTAGCTTCTGTCGATTCTAACGTATTTTTTCATGGTAAATACAATTAAACATCTTTAATTTAATACTGTCACGACTTGCAAAATTCTATTAATTTACCGAAATATTAAATTATTGATCTGCTAATTTAATACGTTTTCACCTAGTCGGGACCGGGAGAAATTATTATATAAACGATGTTATTAATTTATCGAGTATTAATTTACCGATGTTCTACTGTACGCAGATGATACTGCAATGTTCTATGGAATGAAGTTTTACAATGACCTACTAATGGAAGCTGGACCATATGGAAATGTACAGACAGAAATACTGTTGAAAAAAGATAAGGATATATTTACACTGAAACAGGGTTGGGCTTTCCCTAGGAAAATTTACTTCAATGGTGACGAATGTCAGCTTCCTCCCCCCGATGCTTACCCTATTTTACCAAATTCTGCCCACAAAAATCTGATTTTCTCATTTTCAATACTTGAAGGTCTTATGTTTTTGCTATTTCTAGTAGTTGTGTGATTGCCATTGTTTCACATTTATAAATTGGTTTCTTCATATTTTTTTTGTTGAAATTTTGCTAGCAAAAAACGGACTTAACCTCTATGATGTTTTGGTAGAAATAAAATATATCATCCTACTCTACTCGTGAGTTTTAATGTACGTGAGATGCTTTGGTATTATTCAAATTTTAGATTCGATATATTTGATTGGCGGGAAGCCACGAGACTGAGAAATATTATAATCGATAAAAAATGTGAATTCAATTTTTGGCATTTGAATACATATTTGGTTGCTACCATTAAGTCCTTGTTAACTAAACAATTAAGACTTGTAATATTCTCGATTGAAAAAAATCGAGTTTATATAAGCCAACAGTAAAAGTTGAAGATCGAAATTAATTAATGGGCTATTATGTTACAAATATGTCTAAGGTGGACTACTTATTTATATCTAGATCCACCCAAAAAACTCATCTATATCTATATCCACACTTATTATATTTTTATTATATATAATTATTTATATATACTTTTTTATTATAAAAAAGGAATGTGGTTAGTGGTTTCTTTCATTTTTTGTGCTTTGAGGGCAACAAAGTAGGGGTTGTCTAGGGTCCGAGAGGGGTTGTACTACTCGGACCCAAACGATTGAAAATCAACCAATAAAAATGTGACACGTATGATTTGTACGAACCCCACAAAAAAAGTACGATACCTACCTTATAAGTGAAATTACATAAAAACCCCTATAACTAAAACTTAAGTAACAATTAATAATAATTAATAATTAGGGCCATGACAAGGGAGTTAAATGCACATTGGTCAACATAAACAACAATCTTTCAAATAAACCCATCACCATGTCTTTACTCTGAAATACCCTCCATAATATATTTTTTATCAATTTCATCCATTATACTCTAACTTCCTTAATATTACACATTGACCCCGAATTTAAACAAATATATCACATTAACCCTCATTTTAATAATTTTTTGAAAAATATTTTTTTTTAAAAAATAAAATTTTTTCTGAAATTTTTTTTCCGGCCAGATTCCGGCGTTGACCTGGCGGGCGTTGTCCGGCATTGAATTATTTTTTTTGAAAATATTTTTTTTTCTGAATTTTTTTTTTCCGGCCAGTCAACCGCAGTTGACCGCCGCTCTCCGACGTTGACTTTTTTTTAATTTCGTTTTTGAAAAAAATTTTCTTTGATAAAAATATTTTAATTAATATTACTATCTTGCCTACTAAATTACTGTCTCATACAGTAATATTACTATTTCAGACAATAATATTACTGTTTCGGACAGTAATATTATGAATATTATTTCCCGAACCGCAATATTACTAATATTACTGTCCCAAACAGTGACATTATTGCTTGAGACGGTAATATTACGGTCGAAGACAATAATATTACAGTCGAAGACAACAATAATGCAGGCCAAGACGATAAAATTAATTAATACAGTAATATTATTGTCTCAGACAGTTAAATTACTGTTGGAGACAGTAATTTTGAGCCAAGACAGTAATATTAATTAAAATATTTTTTTTAAGAAAAAACAAAATTTAAAAAAAAAAGTCAATTAACAATTAAATTATTGTATTCGAGAGCTAAATTAATGTAGCCAAGACAGTAATATTAATTAAAATATTATTTTAAGAAAAAAAAGTCAATTAATAGTTAAATTAGTGTCTTTGACAGTTAAATAACTGTGGAGATAGTAATTTAGCAGTCAAGATAGTAATATTAATTAATATGTTTCTTTTAAGAAAAAAAAGGTTAATTAACATTAAATTACTCTCTCCGACAGTTAAATAACTGCTGAAGACAATAATTTAACAGCCAATACATTAGTATTAGTTAAAATAGTTTTTTTTTAGAAAAAAACAAAATTAAAAAAAAAAATCAAAGCCGGAGACCCAGCGATTGAGCTACCGGAAAAGAATTTCAGACAAAAAAAAAAAGTTTTGAAAAAAAAAAGAGTTAAAATTGGGGTCAAATTTGAAATTATGGTAAAAAATTGGTTAATTGGTGAAATTGGGCTAAATTAGTTAGTCGAGGTATGATCGTGGAATTTTTTCTTTATTGGGGGGGCAAAATGCAAAAATGACCAAAGTTAGGGGCAAAGTACAGTTAACCCTACTTTTAATTCTGTGGTTTAATAATGTAAGGTTAATAAAGTAATTTTACATGAAGTACGATGGAGTACGACCTTTGTACGATCTATTTTTACTGGGTTCGTACTTTAATTTATAAATTCATAGGTTCGTACTGGATCGTACTAGTTTGTACTTTAAATCAACGACTATAAATTTTTACTAAATATTTTCTACGCATCAGATTAAATCGTTTGGGTCCGAGTAGTACAACCCCTCTCGGACCCTAGACAACCCAACAAAGTAATGTTACTTCATTAATATGATCATCTTTAATTCATTACTATTTAAATATAGCGAACCGTACTAATATTTTGTTTGATATATTTATTTAAAATATAATCATGATTCAAAGTTAATTCATTTTTTACTTTTGATGAAAAAAACAAAAAAAAAAAAACATTACAATATTGAATGTAATTATCATTTGTCTTTTATTTTTAGGGTTTATTTGATATAACATCCTTGTACTTCTTTTAATAGGGAGATACTCAAACTATTTTGCACCATTGAGAAAAATCCACTTCTAATTTTAGTCACCCATTTTTTCAATTATGTCATTGCCACCTCATCAGCACCATCTGCCCATCAGCCGTTTTTTTAAATTATTATTTTTATTATTATTATGTTATAGAATATAAACTATATTATATTAGAGTATAAACCAAACAACTGTATACGGATAGTTAAGAAATATATTCTATTACATTTATAAATGAAAGCCAAAGAATAGTAAATTGAGTGGAAAGAAGTTTTATTGCTAATGAAATTGCTGTGTATTTCTTGCATCTAATAACACCTATTTATAGATGGAATCCAATTTGACTTGTCACATATTACCAGATAATCAAGCCTATTTGTTGTGTCATGCTAACCATTTCTTAGTCTGCAAGGTTTCGAGGTGCTAATCTATTATAGCACAATACATGTGTCATTGCAATCTGATCACAATCAATGGGCTTAAGTTTCATATTTTATTACACTCCTCCTTGGACATAACATCATTGTTAAGCGGTCAATACAAACCGTGTGCAGAAGCTGCCTCATTAAAAACCTCAAGCCGGAAAAGCCAGTAGGACAAAATCGGCGAGAAGGGAAAAAGAGTGCATAACTTAATCCAAATCACGTGCATCAGCTGCCTCGTTAAACCTTTGCTGGAAAACCACAATGGGACCAAAACCTGTCATAAGGGAAAAAGAGTGCAGCGCACCATTGCTCCCCTGAAATGAGGAAATGAGCAATATAGCCTTCAAAATGGGTCGTCAATCTTGCTTCCCATTGGTTCTTCTCATTCCAATAGCGTATACCATCTTCTCAAAAGTAGAAGTCGGCAAGGACTTTGTAAACAAATCAGCAAGATTGCCACATGAGCGAATTTGTCGAACATCGATCTCTCAATTCTTCGGAAGCTCATGTGTATGGAAGAACTTTGGTGATATATGCTTGGACCTATCACCTTTTATGTATCCGCATCTTGTTTGTGCTATGCAAGCAGCACTGTCTTAAAAAATGACAGTTGGCGAGGCTGTAACTGGATGTATTGGGCAGGAGTTTCGTATATGCGAAATAACCGATCGTAACCAAACACATTTTTAGCCAACCTCATAAAGGGCGATTATTTCAGAATGATTTGAGGAGGTGGCCACCAATGTTTGTTTGGTAGATCGTCAAGATATACCCGCACCATTATAACAAAACAAATATCCAGTTTGTGAGCGAACTTTGTGGGGATTAGATCTATCATCGGCATTGTTGGGAATCAGGCACGTGTACGCAGCAGAAAACAAAAATTTTACATGAAATAAACAATTTAAATCATATAATCACATGCTCGATTCGTATTTAAGCAATTAATTACGTACCTTAACGCTTCCACCGAAAATTAAAATTACATCATGCTTATTTATTCGATAATTAAAACACATAGCATGCTCGTAACGAAATGAAATAAACATGCGTATAATTTCATGAAAACGATCAAGTAAAACATACATATCAATTTCATAAAAAACATATAGCATATAATTGAATATAATTAAATAATTCGTATTAACTAACGGATCCGAAAGATTACCTCTTGAAGCGTGAGGCGAACTAACGGATCGAAGCAAACTGTCACGGAAACAAATCCATGCAGGAGCAGCGGCGGTGCGGTGGCGGCGGATGCGCTCAACGACGACAGCGCGTGGAGTCTACGCGTTGTCTTCCTCCTCTCGGATTTCACCAACGACGAATGAGGCACGTGGCCGATTCGGGCGATGGTCGGCGGTGGTGGCGACGACCGTGGGTGCGGCTCGGTCGTGAGGTGTGAGATCCTAGCGGCTAGGGTTTTGTGTGATGTGTTGTGTTGTGTGCAAGACCTATAAATCATGTATTTATAGTGTCTTGTATAAAAGCCCTAACGGGCTTAAGTTGGACCGGGCCCAACAGCTTAAGTTCGTTAGTTCTTTACTCGCTCGTTTCTCACAACTCCATGATTGAAAAATTATAACGATTACATTTTCGGAATCATTGTAATGTCCTCGTCATTACGAGTGCCAATTCTCGATTTCCAATTTCTAAAAGTGGAAACCCTAATTCAGTGGACCTTCTAAATTTGGAAACTTCCCAATTTAGAAAGTTCACTAAGATGTTCTCCTATTTTTTTCATTCTCTTATTCTCATTCATAATTCCAAATTACGAATTTTGGACTCAATCACATTGACTTCCAATCATGCAAAGATTAAACATTTTTATCTTTGACTGTTTATTCAAAGATCTCGAGTGCACGAGCAGTTCGACCCTCGATGGTTCACGTGTAAGCTAGCCGTGGGTCCACAACCCTTTGTGGTCTAAACTCGTCCCTTAGAATTACGATTAAGATGAAGCTCGTTTCACCTTAATCACCCAACGAATCAAGATTGTCGTCTAGCAACTACGCGTCTTGATTCCCTAGGTACAAATGAAGTGTCTGCATGAACCTTTTGATATAGTTAACGTACAGTACGATCCCTTCGATTCATATGTCCCGATTGAACTAGAGGCATTGGTTCATCGAGACCTCCTTAGTAGTTCAATAACTGTGTGATCGTTCTAAGTGTTGTAACTGGTACGTGCATGACTTAAAGAATTAAATTCTCTAATCATCACTTA